TCTTTCCTATGGGCCCCCTTTAGGTATTGAAAGGCTGTAATCAGGTCTCCCTGCAGCCTTCTCCAGGCTGAACACCCCCAACTCCCTCAGCCTGTCCTCATAGGAGAGGTGCTCCAGCCCTCGGATCATTTTTGTGGCCCTCACAATGCCTCAGCACAGCTCCGTCACATGGGAAAAGCACGCGCTTTCTATGAGCAGGTATTGTTATACCCTGAGCTCTTCCACGGGACGCACGTTCTTAGAGGATGAAATTTCCAAAGCCAATGAAAAGCGATGCAAGCATGCACTCTTCTTAAAATGAACGAGACTGCAGTGCCCCAGTCCTCGAGACAGCGCTGGAAATTGCAGCGTGCAGTCTCCATGTATCGCAGTAGATTGCCTGAGCGTGCCCAAGTTGTACATTCATGTCTGTAACCTATCAACAGGTGCTTTTCTATTAAAAAAAAATACATTTTGAATGAAACGGTAGTCATAAACGATATAAGTAAACATCATGAGTTATTTCTTCTGATCACATTAAGTATTTATTTAGAAGAAGACACATAGACGTGCATCTTGCTTAAAGCAGCTGTATGTTCTCATTGTTTCTTCTCTTACTTTGGGAGGGATAAACAACTCGCAGGCCCTAACTCCTTTGGGTGTGTGACTGGCATCTTTAGAAAGCCCACGGAAAATTAAGGTGGTGAACTCCCACGAGCAAAAGCTCTAAGATTGGGAATGTAATTAGGGCGCTGATAAGGGAATATTAGCACAGAGTTTGATGATAAAATGGGAGTGTGATATTTCAGCTTGCAGAATTATTTTTTTATTACTCCAGCTGTTTGAGGGTGGTTTGGGGAAATGAACCGGGAGGGCTTATGATGGATATTTTGCGTAACAGAATGATTAATGCTGTAAGGAGAGTTGAAGTGATTTATAATATATGTGGCTTCTGAATTAGTAGCCATGAGGGATACTTTCAAAGACTAGCAGGAAAGCACAATGCACAAATAACAAGTTATTTAAAGAGCAGCTAAATTACATATATTCAAGAATAGTAAAGATAGGGGAAACGTGTAATTTTTTCACAGGTTCTATGTTAGCGCCAAAACAAGCGAATTACATTGTAAAATAGAAAAATATGCCATTTATTTCCATGCTACAGCTCTTTGTCAGGTTTTAATTTCGTTTATGTGTGCAGTTAGGAAGAACGTTCACATCAGTGAAATTGATGACCGAGGTTTTGACACCCTTCTCTCAGTGGGTAGCACTTGGCTCTTTGAGTAATTTTATTAGGACGATGTTTTTTGGATTAAAGTCTGTTGAGCGCTGGTAGCAACATCAAAATCCAGCCCTTGCAGGTGCCTGTGAGGAAAGCTGATAACCAGTGGGACATGCCCCCATCCTGCTCTTCCCCATCGTATCTGCAATGAAGCCAGTGATGTTTCAGTCCAGCTGAGAATCTCTCTCTAATACAAAAATCAGAAATAAGCTGAGTGTTAGAGATACAAAAGCTACATATTCTTTGGAGTAAGAGCGACAAACCAGGACTGCTACACAGCCTGTGATACAGAGGACCTTTACTGTACCTGTTCAAGAGCTCTTTTAGTTGAAGACTTCTGTTCAGAGAAGTCAGTTGGGTATACTTTTTGGCATAATAAGTACCCAGAAGAGCTAGAAAAGAGCTGACCTTGAAAAAATCACTATGCTGTATTCTGATACTTAAGTTGTACCCTTGAGGGGAAGGTGGACAGTCTGCTGCAATGCTTCTTAATCCCGATTGTGCCTCACCTCTCCCTTGTCCCTTAACAGGAGCTCCAGAAAGTGAGGTGTGTCCCTCGCACCTCTTTTTCTGTTGCGCGTGTTTCTCTGCTCAGTTTATCAAATGGGCACATTTCAAGGTTGAAATGGGCTGGTCAGCGGGCAGAAGGACAGTTTTGGAGTTTAAGGTTGCAGATCCTGTTCTTTGCTTGACCGTGTATTTCTTCTGTGTACTTGCATGACTTGATCTGCCCTCTGCCAAAGCAGGAGATACAGTTTCCCTGTGTCTATGGGATGCTGCAAGGTCCATTAGTGGCTTTTAGGAGCTCTACTGCTTTTTTTTGTTAGTCGCGCTAGATGGAAAAAACCTAAGACTGGGTGGTCATTTGTCTTGGATGCTCATTAGTTGGTGAAAAGGCATCTGTTCCTCCTTGTTTTCTCATAAGTTGTGCCCTGGCTGTTCATCTTTGCTTTTTCCCAGGTGAAGTGGTGCTGCTGGTCCCAATGCCGGCGGATGACCCAGCAGACTCCTGGCAGCTTTTGCCTGATGGAAGAGCAGCCTCACCTACAACCTCTTTTACCCAGCAAGACATCAACGAAGGCATCGTGTGGTACAGGCACTCTGGGTCTGAAGTAGAGAGTGACTCCTTCCAGTTCCAGGTATTCCTCATCATATTCATGGGGGGGGCACGCAGCAGCTCTGCTGGCATTTTTCTCTAAGAGTACTTGGTCTGCCGTTGCCTGTATCTTGTGACCCAAAGTTTAAATAGATACGCATACGGGAATACATGCATGCACACACAAATACACGTGTAAATATATATTTGTATTTACATACAGACTTACATGTATATAGGTGTGTGTTGCTTGCCTGTGGGTGAATATGCATGTACGTATGTGTTGGGGTGGATGCAACCCATCATTGTGGTTGTGGGAGACTCTTACTCAAGCATAAGAGAGATTTTGCTGCACGTGGATCCCCAGGTTTTAATCTGTGGCAGTGGAGCCGGCCAGCCAGCTCCCCACGGTGGTGAGCTGCATGCAGTATTAACCTTCTGGATGTCAAATCACAGGCCGTGCTGCAAATCTGGAGAAAATGGTCTTTCAAGTAGTATCTAACATTTAAGCTATTAAGCTAATAGCTGGCCTGATTTTCCGTAGAACAATTCCATCCCAGGGAGGAAGGGATTGTGTAGAAAAGCCATGATGTTGTCCTAGTGCCTGCTAGCTTGTCTAAGCAGGAAAGCTCTCTGCACTCAAGAGTCCCCAGAGTGAATGGGCAAACAGATCTGCACTTATGACTTCCACGGGGTGAAACCAGCAGGCTTGTAACATCCGTCAGCATGACACAGCGTGTCCAGAGACTGATTCTTGCTGTGACAGTGATCCCTTCTCCACTGGCCTTTTGCCCTTGGGGGAGGCACCCTACTGATGTGCTTGGTGTTGCTTTTGGGAAAGAAATAGGAACAGGAAATGTTTTTTTGCTTGGCAGTCCTTAGGAGAGGTAGCAGAGAGGGTAACTCACACCCTTCTTGTAACCTGCTGCCTCCTTTCTCCTACCCTTCTTTGAGATGAGGCTGGTCCCTGTGCAAGGTGTCTTACTGCAGCTCATGTCCTGGCAGTTTGGGTGCCCCATTTGCAGTTCGGACAGGAGGTTTGATCCCTTGGTACCGTACAGCCAATACATTACCCTCTCATAAAACCTGTAATATTTACTCGGAGTGCCTTTTAAAAAATTGATTGTTTTGCAAGCCCCAAAACCAAGCAACCCTCCTACTTTCTGCAGCTAATAATTTAATTTTTGCTATGGAGTACTTCTTCTTGCAAACAGGCAAAAAGGTACAAATACTCCCCAGCAGATGTAATACTAAAATAAATCCCACCTCCCCACAGGTTTAACGGCCATAAAATTCCTCAGACAGGTCCTTGCTGTTTGCTTGGAAGGTTTAACAGCCTCCCATAACACTAAGCCTACGTGAACACTTGCATGCAGTATTTGTTACATCTGGTTTACAAGTCAGAAGCTATTACTGTAGCACCGGAGAGGCAATTAAGGTAATTTCTAAAGTAATTAACATAAGTGATAATGAGGAATTTGCGAGTGTCAGTGTTGAACAAGCTAATCTTTAGCTTAATTGCTACATTCCTCTTATAGAGAATGCATTTTGCATGAGTTAAATGTTTGGGTTTAGTATCTGGGAGCGGTAGCAATAATTGTACGAAGAGCCCTACTGAGAAGGGAAGGCGCGATTGCCTGGGTCACGTCAGGAGACCATAACACATCTGTCTGAGCCTTGAACTGTGGGTTGGGGCATCTCAGAAAGGGCCAGCATGTTGTGTTCATCAGTATTTTGGCAATTACTATGCAGATGACAACAACTCAGAACAGGTCCAGCAAATGGCTAAAATAATTTCATTCGTTTCAGCAGAGCAGGCGTTTTTATGCGGTTTTATGCATTTTCTTGAAATTAAGCTTGTGCTGAAGTCCGTTCTTGGTGATAAAGTGCTCTGTTGGACTCAAGCACGGACTTCTGTCCCTGCTGAAAGACGAAGCCGTAGCTGAGTCTACAAAGGGCGTTGTATTTCTTTGGGTGCTTGCATTATCTCAGGATTGCTGTCAACATTTGCAGACTTTATCTCTAGAGGATGATGTTGGTCCTTTGAATTTTTACAAATTTAATACTGTTTGCTTTACATATCATTACTGCAGGTTTGCTATTATGAGTTAGATACCATCAACTTAACGTTGGTGTATGGAAATTTTTTATAGGTGCCTGTGAAACACGAACACAGCCTGTCTTGGAAGATGTTGGGATCACAGGGAGTCACTGCCAAGGCAGTGCCATTATTAAAACACCAGTTACTTACACCTTGTCAGCACAACTGGTGGTCACTCTGAGGGTGGGAGGAAGGTTTAAAAACCCATTATTTTTTCTTTTTCTCTGATGAAAAGTTCCACTAAGCTGTACAGATGGAGTAAAATTCAGCAAAATTATTGCAGATAGATATTTTTCTAGATGTTGATAAAGAGGTAAACCATTTCTAGATTCTACAGGCAATAATGGAGAAACTGGTTACTACTTAAAGGCCCTAGTTCCCATCAGCTACCATTCATGTATGCTTTGGGTTAGTATCTTTGCTTCGCAGAGCAGGAGGCGAGGGAAAGTAGGAAACTGGTCTAGAAATGCGGAGGTGTCCTCTCTCAGGTGTCCATTCATGTGATATTTCCTTCCCAGGTGTCCAGCTCTGCCAGTCCACAAACCAGCTTGGAAAGCCACGTATTCAACGTTGCTGTTCTCCCGCAGACACCCAGAGCACCTCAGCTTTCCCTCGGCTCCTCTTTGCACATGGCTGTAAGTGTGAACCAACGCCGTTGACCGATGGTTTCGGTATTCCTACTCTCCCTGCAGCAGGGCACAACAACCAGAGCCTCGCATAGAGCAGTAACTGCTGAGCGTTGATTCCTGTAATTGCTATTGTCCATGTTCTTGTGCTTGATTCAAAGATTGAACTAAATCTACGGAACAGGGCATACACATCAGATAGATAGCTGGAGTAGAAATGGAAAAAAAAGACAGGTTCTTAGAAGAGTAAATGATGCAAGGGGGGGAAATGTGCATAAACAGTTGAAAAACTCAGTATTAAAAGTGATGAATGTATAAACTGGGAAGGAGCAGGAGAGAGAGAAGACAAAATACGTTTAACGTCATTTTATGGAATTCTTACCCTTTCCTGAGAAGCCATTAGGAATGGCAAGAGTGAAAAACTGTGGGTTAGAGAGGCTGTAATGAGTAGATCTTGCCAGTAATTCCACTGTAAACGTTATCAGAACTGTAGCCCACCCACATTAGAAAGTTTTCATCCATCATTCTGACACCAGGAACACAGACTATAGTGCATGTGGAAAACATTCAGACAAGCCCCTTCTATCTGCATCCGTGGAACTGGATTACCTTTTCTTGCAGCATCAACTCTGGGAATGGCCATTTTGATAAGAGTGGTCTCTCTAATGCAGTTATTTCCCTGATTGTGTTAATTGAAAAGATGACCTCGAAGTTTAAAGTTGGTTTTGTGAGCTCTCTGACATTGGTGCATGCCTCCTCCGTCTGTCCCTATCATGTCTGGGGGTGAAGTCCAGCTTTCCTCTCCGCTTCTCCTGCTGTTTCCAGTTCTTTGATTCTGTAGGGAGGGATCCTGACTGCGTGAGCTTCAGGGCTCTGCACCCAGGTCACCCCTTGGGATGCTCTGAGACCCCGGACCCTAGAGGCAGGGAGTTTTGATTTAGACATCACCTCGGCCTCATAGCTTTGTGGGGCTTTCAGAGGGGAACAAGGATCACGATCCACTGAGCAGCAGGCCTGAGCTGAGCGCGACAGGGCAGGCTGTGATGAGAAAGCAGAGATGAAGACTTGCAAGAAACGTGAACGGAGCTGAGGCCAAGCCTTCAGGCAGGAGCTGCCTGCAGGGAGAGGGAGAACTGGATCTGCAAA